CCCCTGCTGGACAACAGTGAAAAATTACCCATGTTCGTAATATATTTTTTTGCTTACAGTCATGCATAGAATTTAATTCAAATAAAATTTGGTGCAGATTTGATAGTGTTGATGTTTCATGGTTATACTAGGGGGCGCTGTAGTGTTCACATCTCATCACTCATTAGTAATTTCAAATTTCACCACAATCGGACTAAACATGTGCTGTGATATTTTAAAGTATTTTGGGGGGAGTCTTTGCTTTTGGAGACTTTTCGTGGACATTTTTGCCTAAAAATCATAATCGTTTGCAAGGGAAAATCATCATAATAAACCTGCAAAGAACAACAGCCCTCAATGGTTACTTCATTACTGGCTCGGGCCAAATATGTGCAATGGTTTATATTTCAAAATGTGTTTTTCCTTTATTTTTCATGTAAAGTGCATATGACACGTTAGATCAGGGGTGGGCAACCTACAGCCCGGGGCCCATTAATCCCCAGGCCTTTAATCTTTTTAATCTGGCCTTCCAATCTTGAATAATAATAATAATAATAATAATAATAATAATAATAATAATAATAATAATAATAATAATAATAATAATAATTTGAAAGTAATTTCAGTAAATTGTAAATACTGTGGGACTTGAAAGACAAAAGATATTTTGTTGTAATGCTTTTCAGTGATGGGATTTTTCAATAACATGGGACATGTTTTCTTACATATGCCATGTTATTTTTTTCTCTTAAGAGGTGGATTAACCATAAAACTCCATCCATCTGCTCCTGGTCCGACACTTCCATTACATTTTCGAACCCTTCGTGGCCCATGAGTCAAAAAGTTTACCCACCCCCGGGTTAGATACACTTTTCATTAAAACATAGTTACCATGGTTACATTCATCTCTGTAACTATTTCAGGCCTTTTAGTTTTGCCTCTTACGTTATTTCCTGGTTGGACACAGGCAGCAGATGTGACGTACAAAGTCATTCCACTTCTGTTAATTAGCATCCATCCTGTCAACAACAGCCAAAGCTCATCCAGTTTACACAATAGATTTAACAAATAAGAACACATGAGAACAACTTTCATTTGTTTAATGAAACTGTAAACAGTCAGAAAAAGTCGGTTGTTGTGGGTAAACTGTGGGAATTGTGGAGGGAGTTTTGTGAGTTGATGGCAGAGGGCAGCCGAGAGATTCTGTTTTACATCTCAGTGCTACTACCTGTATTTTTACTCTTTTTCTTTCAACTTTTCCCACAAACTGTCACTGAACTGATGTAAAACTCTGATAAGTATTTTTTTTTTCTTCATTTTTTCTTAATCTTCTTACAGTGTCAGTAGAAAGAATATGTTTGACTGTGTTCACTGGTGCGTCAGAAGAGTATAGCTCCATAAACAAACAAACACAGTGAATGAGACACATGTCCCACATGTTACAGTCCAAAAACACAATGTTAAATCTACTGTATATAATATAGAACTGAGTCATAATCTTACACGTGTTACATGTTTCAGAGGAATCCACATAAGACACACTTTACACTGAGTCTCATTTGATGAAAAATTATAATACATTTCTTTTATTTACAAAACAACAGCATTGTGTTATATTCATGGGTTTAAAATGATGAAAAATTTGAACTGTTGACATTGCAAATAACAATATTATATCATATTTTTGAAGGGTTAAAAGTCCCCAAAATGTCGCCCGTAAACAGGAAACTGAAACTCATGAAGTGTTTGATGAGCTCAGAAATCAGAGCTAATGCACTTTTATCTTTGTAATAGATATTTTAATCTAAAACATGAAACAAGGCTCAAACATAAGTAACAGAACCTAGAGTTAATATACAACATGAAATATAGTTATAATATACAACATGAAATATAGTTTTAATATACAACATGAAATATGCAACATGAAATATGACTAATATATAACAATACATATAGTTAATATATAACATTAAATAAAATATAGTTATAACATACAACATTAAATATACTTCATATACAACATTAAATATACTTCATATACAACATGAAATAGTTATAATATACAACATTAAATATACAACATTAAATATAGTTCATATACAACATTAAATATATTTCATATACAACATTAAATACGGCTAATTTACAACATTAACAGGAAGTCCATAATCTGTCCAAACAGGAGCTCATGCTCAGGCTCGCCTCTTCACAGATATGACCTGTAGCTTGGCTTTGTGTTGTCACTTGCTCATCTGACAAGTTGGATTTTTTTAAGTTAAATTTTTTTTCTTCCTGATAGGACACTGTGACTTCATCATTTATATTTACAACAGCATATACAGTATTATCCCACCAAATGAAGTCAAAATGAAAAAATAATAAAAATAAAAATCTGCTTCACACACTTAATGCCATAACATGGAACATTCCATACAAAGCAATAACATCTCCATGGAGACATATATACAGTATTAGTGGTTTTCAGACTTCAGAGGGCAAGAGACAGATTTTCCTGTTGATCATATCGTACTTGTCCTGCCATGAAACATCTGAAAAGTAAATTCATAAATGTTGAACCTGGTGTGACTAGAAGCACAGACCGTGTAAAGACATGGACTAAACAAGTGTGACGTCACTCACAGTGTTCACCTCCAGTCACATGAAGCTCACGAGGATCACAAGGTTCCATTTTAAGATTAGGAATTGATTTATGGATAAACTAGTCAAATAAAAACCCCAGGATCATGTAGAGCGAGTTAATATGAACATTTTAAGACCAAACTGATGAGGCTCACAGCAGAAGTCACAGAGAGAGCCATGCCCATTTAAATATACAGTTTATGGACTAGACCAGGACTGGGTGATTCTTTTTTCTATGAGGCCACATGAGAAACAGGGTCTACATGCTTAATTCAATTTGTATTTCTGGGGTCAGCTGTATGTTCTCTTATTTCTAGGATTTTTTTCTCAAAATTAAACTCTAAAACAAGTCATTTTTATTTTTATACCACATTTAAAGGGATGATTCAGCGTCATTTCAACCTCGATCCTTTGCACCAGGACCTCGACATTACATCTGTATTCAACTGCTGCTGGAAAAAAGGTCAGGTGTAAGAGACGACCAAACTGGGTGAAATGGGGATAAATTCTGATGCAAACTGATGATTAGGAAATGTGGGAACATAGGGTCTAATATTGGAGAAAAACATTGAAATGAGAACATAAGGCTGAGGGAACTGAGGCACGCTCCTGTATTTCTTTATAAAAAGTAATAAATATCAGTGTTCTGATGAGCTGCTCAAACTGGGAAGAGTTTATATTTTGACTAAACCATGAAAAAGTGAAAGTGTCTTACAAAAAATGTCATTAAAGAAACAAGTCTAAAATAAAAGCAGTGCAGTTTTAGTCCATGCATGAAGTAAAATGATAAACTATGTTTACTTTGTAATTCCAAATGAGCTTAAATGTGCCAGTCAGCGTTAACCAGAGTGGCCCCGGAGCTGCACAATGCCCAGGTCTGGACTAAATCCAAGAACTCACAACAAAAAATCTACTTTGCCCTACGAAGACACAAGAGCTTAACTCTCCAGACTGTGAAACTGACAAAAATAACTTCAGAGTTTCTGTTTTGTCCAGACAAAAGCAGAATAGATCGGGCTCCCAAAATTTGACAAGTAGTTGCTATAATGAAGAAATATTTGTATGTGAAAAATCTTGAGCTCAAAATTGACCTTTGACCTTATTTGTCAGTTCCTGTTCTCTGCTTTTGTATCATGACACAAAAATAACGATTCGTGCAAAGACAAAAGGCAGAAACTGATTATTATTTGGTTGATTTTCTCCAGACTTCCATCCATTATAAGAACATCTCACCAAGCTCCAGTCTTCATGTGTTTGTTTGAAATGATCTAGACAAGTTTTGGATTTCCAGTTTAGTGTTGATCAGGATCGTGCGGCGACACTTCCACAGTGAAACAGTTTGACACATAAGTGACTTTGCAATATAGTATGTACAGTATGAATAAATACTTGGGATGTAATAATAACCGAAATATCGTGATATCATATTGTAGAAGTCTCTCAATGTACAGAAGCAACGACATCATTTTTGAAACTAGGTCATGAATAGGGGTGGGTTCATGTAAGTTTTTTTTCTTCTTCCCTCTCCTTTTCGAGAAATGTGCTTTTCTGTGTTTACAATGTATATGTAGTATATACGATTATTGTTCATTGTTCATTGTTCATTATTGTTATTGTTCAATCAATCAAGCAATAATATCGTGGGCCATCACAATATATCGAATTACAAGTCTCTTTGCTTAAATTCATTGTTTTGGTGCAGCAGCGCCTAAAAGAAACAGAGGGAACTCCATAGACCATGATCCTTTGCTCTGTTATTAAGCACTTTTAGATCTTAACTCTTTGGTTTATGACAGAACCAAAGGCTTGTCAAGACATTTTTAAAGGAAAAAGTAGTATACTCACAATTCTGTTAGCTTCTACAAAATATCGCAATAAATATCGTACTGTGACATGCATATCGTGAAAATATCATACCGAGGAATTTGGATATAACGTTACATCCCTAATAAATACACCAAATACTTTCTCATTAAAGATCATTGAAGTATAACTGAATACAAAGGTTTATTTATTGAATGTGTTAAGACCCTGTGCCAGAAGTTGGATTTTAAAATAAAATCTATTTATGAACTAAATCATAAACAAAAGATACACTGTTACTGCCTTTTGTCTTTATACGGAAACTTATTTTTAGCTCATGATACAAAAGCAGAGAACAGGAACTGACAAATAACGCCAAAGGTCAATTTTGAGCTCAGAATTTTTAAGGATATTTTTTTCATAAGATAAAGGAGGTCTCAAATACAAACAAAATGACATGAACTTATCTTGGACCAACAAAAAAACCTGCATTGCCCCACAGAATGTTGTGATGTCACCTGAAACTCTGCAATATCCAACCTTCCACGAGAAAAGGCCCACAGCGCTTCTTTAAATCACTGAAGTCTAGCGTTCGGTCCGATCTTGGTGTAGATCTTCCCCATGAGGATGAACCTGAAGGCGGACCTGAACAAGCTGTGGGAGTACGCGTAGATGAACGGATTCAGCATGGAGTTTAACCAGGCCAAGAACTTAAAGATCTCCATCACCTTGAGGGGCAGGGAGAAGTGGTTGAAGGGCTGGTACGTGGCGCAGATGGAAACCGGGGCCCAGCAAATGAAAAACACACCGATCACCATGGCCAGCATCAACGTGGCCCTCCTCTCCGCTTTGCTAACCCCGTCCGATAAGCTGGCGGTGTGGATGCTGCGCGCTTGCCTCCGCACCACCAGCAGAATCTTCATGTACAGCGTGAACATGACCACGAAGGGGATGTGAAACGCGATGACGGCCGCTATGACGGACAGCTTCAAAATCTGGACAATGGCACAACGTTCTTTTGACTTGTTCCCGCCAAACGTTAGCACAAAAGACAACACGCTCGACAGGCTCCACACCATGAAAATCATACCCAAGATGATGCGGGAGTTGATTTTGGTTTGGTAGCTCAGCGGCTGGCAAACGGCGTAGTAGCGCTCGATGCAGATGCAGAACAGATTCAGGATGGACGCCAAGCAAAGCAGCATATCGAAGAACCCGCGCACTCTGCAGAGAACGTCGTGAAGAGGCGAACAGGGCGTCACGAATAAAAAAATGACGAAGGGTAAAACCATGATGCCGATGAGGAGATCGGACACAGCCAGGGAGAGGACCAGGTAGTTGGTTAAGGTGTGGAGCTGCCGGAAATACGCGATGGAAATAATTACGAGAACATTTCCGCACAGAGTTACCAAAGTGACGATGGCCAGAATGGTGCAGACCGGCAGCAGAAACGACGCTTCCCTCATGTTGCAGATCTTCACTGTGGTGTTGGAAAGCGAGACGTTGTCCATTCTCCGGCCGGGTTTGGTTTGGTTCCAACAGTCTCGTAGGTGAGGGTTTGCTTCTGTGGAAAGAGAGAAAGAGGTAGAGTGAAGTGGGCTGGCCTGACGCTGCCGGGTAAATTTGAAGACATGTGCATATTCATGAGAGGGGAGGGGCCAAGAGCACAACAACAGCAGGTGTTAAACGTACACTTCAGGTGCAGAGGTGCGACCAAACACACTGACACTTTGCACAATGTGTTTGATTTCACGGTTTAATGTTTTGCTTGTTTTTATATTTTATGGTTTGTATGTGTTGAATTTAATACAAATGTTTTTAGATAGTTTAATATTTTAATGTGATTTTATATATATATATATATATATATATATAGTGTTGATTTTAATGTGATTTTTTTTTTTTTATTGTGTTGATTTGAATGTGAATGTTTTTATGTTGTTTTTTATTAGCATGCTAGTACTCGAGTTTGGACTCAGTCTTGAAAGCGTTTGGACTCAGTCTTGTCTCGGTCTTGAAAGTGCTCGGGCTCGGTTTTTGTCTTGGTCTTGAAGGCACTTGGACTTGGTCTTGTGTCTGTCTTGAATGTGGTTGGACTTGGTCTTGTCTTGGTCTTGAAGGCGCTTCTCTGTTTTGTTTCAGCCTCAAGGTCTGACACTTGACAAGTGATAAAATGGAGATAGATTTATAAAAACATTGATATAAATGTGCCAAAATACAAGAAATTACAAAAATGATCTCCATTTAGTCTCAGTGGTCCATGGTCTTGGTCTTGTCTCAGGCTTGACCTTTAAAAGTCTTGGTCTTGTCCTGGTTTTGGGACCCTGTGGTCTCGGACTGGTCATAGTCTTGATTAGTCCAGTCTTGACTACAACACTAGTTTTATATTGTGTTGATTTGAAAGTGAAGCACTTTTGTCACCTTCTGGGATTGTACAGGACTCTATAGATGATTTGATTGAATGAAAAAATAAATGAATTTAAATTAGAATTGCACTATGTAAGGTGCACTTGGTCACCTGCGTGTTTCTCTGGATTATGGCACTGCTCTGACTGAAATGTTCCAGTGTATGACTTTAAACAGCTCTACCTTACATTTATTTACTTACAGATGATTCTATATCTCAGGCATTCTGACTGTAAATAGAAAGGTTTAATGCCATACTGTGAAACATTCCAGACAAAGCAATAACATCTTCATGGAGAAAAGCATTTGACTGGCCACAATGCACTTTTAAAGATCCAGAGATCGGATAAGAGTCAGGTCTGCTGTGTAAACAAACCTGTGCTGTGGATAATTTGAGTGTGAATGAGCGTCGTTTAGTTAACAAGCCTCATTACCTGGCCTCATTAAAGTTTGTCACACTTAGCCGGTGTTTGGTGGTGGGTTGCCGTGGTTACCGGGGACGTAAATGAGGAACATTTGGGGGGTCCCGCGGGTCAAGAGCCTGTTCTCCCCAGAGCGGTGCATCCTGGGGCAGTGTCTGTCAAAACACATACACAAGCTGCTCATTTAAAGATGAGGAATTCACGTAATATCTGATAACACATGTGTAGGTCACTGTGCTCCTTCTATCAGCTCTACTCACGCTTACGTCACAAACCAGAAACATGCGAGGACAACTTCCAACGGGCTTTGGTCTGGGAAAAATAAGAAAATGTCCCAGTTTTCTTCATCTCCAAGTCCTTGTAGAGTTCCGTTATTTTCGGCCAATCAACAGCTCCAACCATACCTCAGTTTTCATCATTTCCCCACTGACACACACCTCCAAGGCTACGTTCAGACTTAACGCTTAACGCTCAATTCCGATTTTTTTGTGAAATCCGATGTTTTTGCGAGGTCGTTCACATTTCCAATTAAATGTGACTTGTATGTGACTCCAGTGTGAACATTAAACGGCCCAAAAGTGTCCCACATGTGACACTGGAGACACGATGACGTCAACCGCAGTGAGCGTCTCTGTGTTTATGAAGTTGTTCAAACATGGACGCAGCATTGAGCACCTGGAGATTTTAAAGTTCCTCTCGTACCGGAGCCAGAACATGAACAACTTACTTGTTTTAAGGAGGAGATTGAGAAGGAGAAGGACGAGGTTTTTGGTCGTGGTGTTTTGTGGGACAGTGGGAGCAACGTCTGTTGAAAGGAACGTGTGGATGTGGAGACGGAGCCAAGAGTGGTGAGTGGTGATGTGCTTCTCTTCAGTGACACAGAGTTCATTAACAATTTTTGCCTACTTCAGCGCAGAATAGTGACGTTTGTGTCTTGTTGATAACGTGTAGGCACTGTTGGGCAAGTTACTTTGAAACTGTAATGCGTTATTTATTACCTATTACTGTCATTTCAAAGTAATTCGTTACATTACAATATTACTGCATTTAAAATGTAAGGCATTACATTACTATTGCATTACTTTAAGTTACTCTCACATAACTTAAAATAACTTTTGCGCTGTATATGGACTGAACCAGGACTAAACCAGGTCTAAACCAGGACTAAACCAGAGCTGAACCAGGACTAAACCAGAAGTGAACTAGGACTAAAACAGGACTCACTGTAGGACGGGCTTGAAAGGTGACGCAGGAGAAAGGAGCAGCTCTGCTCCACACCTCATGGAGGTAAGAGCGGCTGTCACTCGATCGCTCTTTATGGACCCTGCTGCTCGGGCTCGCGGCCCTGATTTCAGCAACTATTGCAGGTACCCGAGCCGGTGCAAGAGTCTGTTACAGCGCGTAACTTCTACCTTCCTTCAGCGTGTCCAGAAGTCCAACTTTTTGTGTGATGGTTTGCATCTTCCTCTGTCTTTTGGGTGCGAGTGCAGGAGCCTTTGTCGGTGCAAACGTTTCGTCGACGTTGTGGGTTTCGTCAGGGAGAAAACTTGCAACCGTACAGCACTTCAGAATCACACTGCCAGAGATTGAACGTTTATTTAAATTTGGCAGTGAACACACTCTGTACTGTACTGTACAGGAGACAGGAGTCCTTTGACCAGTCAGGACGCAGCGGGAGGAACACAATAGTGTTCATACAATGTAAAAAAAGGGCATGCAAAATTGCACAAAAAAAACCCAAAAAAACTGTGAAACAGCGAGACCGCGAAAAGTGAACTGCGATAGAGGGAGACGAGTGTAAACCAGGTCTAAAACCAGAACTGACCCAGTCTAACCAGGTCTAAACAGCGTGGAGTTCTTTGTCAGTCCTTTTTACCTGAAGGTCTATGAGGGCGCATCTCCGGCGTTTCACCGCTGCTGATATCGAGGTGATTTTAGCGAATTTGTATGAAGAAAAACCCACCACTTCAATCCAGTTAAAAAAAACATTGTAACGCGCGTTACTCACATTGTACCTAGTAAATATTACAATTTTTTCCCCTGTAATGCCTTACATTACTGCGTTACAGCAAAAAGTAATGCATTACTGTAATTCATTACTTTTATAACGCGTTACTAACACTGTGTGTAGGTCGAATGAATGCGCTTTTACCGTTCACACTGAAGTCGCATGTCAAAAGATCAAATATGTATCGGTTTCAGGAGCACATATCCAAGTGTCCTGGGTCACATTTGAAAAAAATCGGATCTGTGTCGTTCAGACTGACATTAAAAGATCAGCTACAGGAGCATAGGGGCCAAAAAATCGGATTTGGGTCACTTCAGGCTGCAGTCTGAATGCAGCCCAAGTGTCCACCAGCGTCTGACCAGAACTAAAGAAGCAGCTTGGTTGATCTGAGAAACATCTTCAACCAAACTAACTTTTGTCCAGTTGACAAACTGAATTTTCTCCTCGTCATAAAAGAAAATGTAAATTGGTTAAACATGGCGACATATTTGACCATTAAACAACCACTGTTTTAAAGTTTTAGACAAAACAAAAACAAACAAAAAACAAAAGAGTTTGTCCAAAAGTACTTTTCCTTAACGGCACAGAGCAGTCGCCTGTAGAGCTGCTCTTGTTGTGCGATTTGAATTTCTTTTCACAAACTCCTTTAGAGGAGGTGGAGCAAGATTATTAAAAACTTTGTGTACCAAAATTGAATCTGCATATTTGATTGTGTTGTCCCAATTTAGGAATTTGTATTTGTCAAGTTTTCTGCAATAGTGATCATTTGTGGGCTTTTTGTCTAATACCTTAAGTGTTTTTTTATAGATAGTTTCAGTTCATTTAAGAGGAGTTTTGCTTGTCAGAGTCCAGCTAGTAATGCAATCATTTAGGTGCGGCAAGATCATTGAATTTAAATACATAATTGCCAAGTTTGTCCTTAGATTATTTCTTATATGATGAAAATTTGATAAATGATATTTGTCTGTCTCAATATTCCCCTGGCGTGTGAGGATAACTGTAAGCACTGCTCTGTCTGAGGCTCTGTTAGACTTTAATCTGAGCTTTGTTTAACACAATCTGAACAAAAAGAACAGACTTATCTGGAACTACAACGGTGATTTGTGCTGTTAAACAAGTCTCTCTCTAATGAAATGACATGAATTGAAATTGTCCAACAGTTTTTCAGTGACTCGCTCTCACCTTTTAATTGAAAATCAAACTCCTAAACAGGACTTCGGACGCTTGGACTGATCACAGGCTCCTGAACATTCCTTCATAGATACATGTAGAACACCCCCGTCATGATGCAGAGTATCAGTGAGATGACAGATGCTGTGTAGTTTGTACAGGTACAGCTGCTTTTGCTCTTCTCATTCTTCTGTCCTCTGCAGTGTCTCTGTCCTCAGGTCCACAGGTGTCGACTCTCTCACAGGTCACTGTTTTCTCATGTAATAAAGCTTTTTCCACAACATTAATCAGAAGTTCCGCAAACCTACAGCGCGTCACTTCCAGTTAATGCTTTTCTATGGTGAAATATCTGTGCAAATCTGTTCAACCAACAAGGTCCACAAAGGATAAACATTCTACCACGAACAATTTATCCACAACTATCAAGAGAAGAAAGACCAAAACTTAAAGGAAACAATGACCACCACACATTAGTGACACACTGAACAAAACTAATGTTATGATC